GTCTCCGATGCCGCGGCGGAGCAGGCGTGCGGGGTTACTCTGCTCCCGGGGCTCCGGATCCTTGATCCGTCCCTCCAGCAGGAGTTGTGGGGTTTGCCCCTTGGGGGTCGCGAGGATGTCTGATCTCTCAGAGCTGAGAGTTGCAGGGCTCGCACTGCTGGGGAAGGGTCCCCGGGATCTCCGACGCCGCCTCCAGCAGAGAGTTGCGGAGTTTGCCTCTTCGGGGCCTCCGGCATCCCTGACCTCGCTCTTAGAGTTGGGGGGTTTGCCTCCTCAAGGTGCCGTGGGATCCTTGACTCCGCCCCCGATCAGAGAGGTGCGCTTGAGTTAGGGAGGGTGCTGGAGGGTGCTGGCGCGGACTACTCGTTAGGGCTAAGCGGAGAGCCGGCCGGCTGCTGCTTAGCTGGATAGCGTGTCGGGAGGCTTTGCTTTTCTGGAAAAGTCGCTGTAACGGACGCGAGCGTGGCGTGGTCCTCGTTGTGCTCTTGGCGCACTTTTCGTATTCGCCCTCGTGGATCCAGGCTAAGCGTCTCAGCCATTTTGTGTCCTACGGAAGTTTCATTAGCTTTTTAAAAGTTGCTGTCTCGACCTAAGTTACTCCAGTACAAATTACTCTGAGTATATATTAAAACGCGCTTACGAGGTTAAAAATTAAGCGAATGGGAGAAAATGCAAGAGTTTGAGGTATTGTCTGTCGTTCATGGTATTTGTTTTTTAAAGCGTCCTAAGCTGGGCAGTGATTTAGCATCTTACCGGAAATAAAGTCGTCGGTATCCTAAAAGGATTTTTAGAAGAGAATAATATACACTCTTTCCAGCTAAATGTTGTTTCATCCTTTAAAAACAGGTTATTTAAAATAAAAGATGCCAAAGAAATATTTACTAACGATGTGCTTTCGGTTAGGAATGGATACTCTCCTTTGAAAACGATTTAGATAAGAGCGATAAACAGGACTGCACAAATGCTTAGAGGTTATAATTTTTATGTACCTCCAGTTTTTAAAATGTGTTTTAAACTAGATGTGTCTTGGCTTCACAGATTGTGAGTGCAGTCGTGGAAATATAGGTTGCTTTACTCAGTTTCTTTATAGATTTTTAGCTTAATCTCTAGTGGATGAAAAGAAAATACTTAGTGTAGCATTAAAACGCATCACAGTGAGCTGACTCAAACTTAGGGACATTTGAATTGTATTTGTAGACAGAAAATTTTTCTGAACATACAGCTGTTGGCTCTGATATTTAGTGTGGAGAATATGCTTGGGAGGGGAATGTTCCTCAAAATGTAATAAAAATATTTATTCAAGTAGGGCCATTAATTTTTAATAAGCTATGTAAGTAGGGGTACTAACTTGGGAAAAGGCTGTTTCCTATGTTAAAAACAAAAGCAACTCAGGATTACTTTTATAATATGAAACTTCAGTATTTTTCACACCAGAAGGCTTGTGCTGTGCTGAATGAAATCCTTTAACATCCATGTGACAGGCATTTTTAGTCATTCTAAAATAGTTTGAAATTGATCTTAGGTATGACTTTAAAATAATTGCATATTAAATCAATTGCCCCATCTTCCCCATTTAAGTAACATTTCCTCAGAACCCTTGAAAGATCATTGTAAAAGTGCTTTTATTTTTTGCGCTATATGATACCCTGTTCATTTTGTGCATGCATAGAATTTGTGTAAATCAGGGTAGAAGTTTGCACTGACATACTTAACAAGTTTGTGGGTATTTAAAAGAAATTCTGGGCAAATCCTTAATATTCTGTCTCTCAACTTCTGGGTTAGTAGACAATTCAAGATTTAAGCTTAATTATTTAATTTGATTATTCAAGGATAGATTTTATAAGTTGAAAACTTGTCTTGTTATGAGTAAAATTACTTCCAAATTAATCAGCCTTCTGAATTTGGACTACAGATTCCTAAGACAATATATAAATTGTAGTTGTGTTTCTGGTTTACTATTTTGATTTCAGCTTTTGGCTTGTATGTGGCTTGTATTTGTACTTCTCTTTCTCATTTCACTATTCCTAGTTGTCAGTTTCAACAGAAAGTCTCCTTTTTGTTATGTGTAGTAAGCAAAAATACAAGTTATTTTCTTGACACCTCTTTTTTCAACCTTTAACCATGTTATTTAAAAAGATAAATTAAAGAGGAACCGTGAGGAGTGTCTTAGGTGTGCTGGGTCCTTTCCAGCCCCCACTGGCAGTGCCTCCCCTCCTGCCTGGAACATCACACCTGTCCTCTCCTTTTCTCTCCTCTCCAGCCTCTCTCTCTCAACAGCATATTCCAGCCCCCTTTCCCCCTGTTGCTTCTGTACATGGTCCCTCCACCCCAGAGGACAGGGGTCTGCGGGGTTTCCTCAGCAGCCCCTGCCTTTCCTGCCCACCCTGCTCCCTTGTTCTGGAGTATTCTGCCCCTTCGTCCTTGTCTGCCCAAGCCCCATGCATCCTATCCTTCAAGGCCCTTTTCCAGTGTCACCTCCAGTTCTTTCTATCTGAATTCCTCCTGGAGGACGAGTGTATGAATGTCCTACGGTGTTTGCCACGTTAAGCGGCAGCCGCATGTTTGCCTGCCTCCTGTTTCTCCCTTTAAACAGTGGGTACCTTGGAATCTAATCTAATTTCACTGTGTCTGACTGGTCACTGTTCCCAGGACGCATGTGTGGAAGGCAGGAGTGAGCGATCCCCCTCTCCTTCCTTCCTAATCTATCGGTGCTGACTTCTAGTCTTTACATGGAATTCCTCTGCTGACTCCCGTTTTTCCTTATCCAACCTAGCCAGCTTTATTTCCTGCTCCGCTACATTCATCTGTTCAATCAACCTATTTCGAGCACCTGCTGTGCGCCAGAGACCTTGGCTCTAAACCCTGTCTCCGCTTTGGCTGCATATCGGTTACCTCTAGGGAGCTTTAAAAAAGAAAGGAGGGAATCTCAGGCCTCACCCCTGGCGCTGATGAATCGTGATGTCTGGGTTGGGCGGGGCTTAGTGGTTTTGGCAAAGCAGCCCGGTGATTCTGGGGTGCTGGATGATGACCCACTCACTGCTCGGTGCTTCCAGGTGGCCCTGAGAAGGCAGCAGGCCCAGGAGGAGGAACTGGGGATCAGCCACCCCATCCCGCTGCCCAGCGCGGCCGAGCTGCTCGTCAAGAGGGAGGCCAACGGCAGCAACCCCTGCCTGATGACCGAGAGCGGCAGCGGCGCCTCGCAGCCCCCGCCGGCCAGCACCCCCACCACCGCAGCTTCAGGTAGGCGGAGACGGGTGGGCTGGGCTCCGGCTGTGGCGCGGTGGGAGGGGCCGACGGCCTGGAGGCTGGATCTGGGCAGACTCAGAATCACAGACTGCCCATGCCCAAGGGGTCCAGACTGCATGTCAGTCAACCCATCCCGTTTTGGGGTCCTCTTGGTGGGAGCTAAAGATCCTTGTTTTCTAGCACCGAAAGCTCATTTCTCTGGAAAAGACTGAACTAATTTAGGAAAGGCGTCTGAAAAAGCCAATCCTAGGTGTTGGGTTTCAGTGGACATTGGGGAGTGGGGCAAGGCTTGTCCCATCGGCTTACATTCTCTCCCCTGTGCTAAGATTATAACAGGGGCTTTATGCCTGTTACTTCATTTCATTTCATTCTCAGAATTAGGAAGTAGTAACTCTATTTTGTACCATTTGAAAACTGAGGTAAAAAAAGTTGAAGTGACTAGCTACGTCTGCAGAACTAGAAGGTATCTGAGTTGGTCCATCTGCCTCCAAAGCTATGTGCTTACTGCACTGGGTCTCCAAATGACCTCAGGAATCTTGGTAGTCTGAAGCTGCTCTGGCCAGTACAGAAGCCCCTAACCACATTTGGTTATTTAAATTTAAATTAACTACAATGAAATAAAATTAAACTATTCTTCCAGAGAAGATACGCAAATGGTCAAAAGCTCATGGAGGGATGCCTGCTACCATTCATTAGTCACTGGGGAAATGCAAGTGAAAACTACAGTGAGGCACTACCTCACACCAGTTAGGATGGCTGCTACCAAAAAAGCAGGAAATAGGAATATTGGTGAGGATGTGGAAAACTGGAACTTTTGTGCACAGTTGGTGGGAATGTAAAATGGTACAGCTGCTATGGAAAACGTTACGGTAGTTTCTCAAAAATTAAAAATAGAATTACAACATGATCCAGTAATTCCACTTCTGAGTATATATCCAAAAGAATTGAAGGCAGGGTCTTAAAGAGATATTTTTACATCTGTGCTTATAGCAGCATTATTCATAATAGCTAAAATATGGAAGCAACTCAAGTGTCCGTTGACAGATGAATGGTTAAGCAAAATATGGTAAAAAAAATTACTTAGTCTTAAAAAGGAAGGAAATTTTGAACATGCTACTATGTAAATGAACCTGGACGATATAATGCCAAGTAAAATAAACCAGTCACAAAAGGACAAATACTGTATGACTCCACTTACATACTTAGAGTAGTCAGAATCCTAGGGACAGAAGGTAGAATGGTGTTTGTCAGGGGCTGCAAGGAAAGTTATTGTTTAAGGAGTACAGGGTTTCAGTTCTACAAGATGAGAAGAGCTGTGGAGATGGATGGTGGTGATAGTCGCACAGCATTATGAATGTAGTGAATACCACTGAACTGCGCAATTAAAAGATGGTTTAGATGGTAAATATTATGTTCCGTGTACTTTACCACAATAAAAAAAAATAAAAAAATTTAAACATGTAATTCCTCAGTTGGACTAGCCATATTTCAGATGCTCTAAGGCCTGCCGTATCGACATTTCCATTTCTCACTAAGTTCCATTTAATGGCACCGGTCTAGGATGGAGGGGCTCTAGGAAATCATCTCTGACATCCTGTTGGCAAATAAAGACATATATTACATATTAAACACATATGCTGAGATTTACAGAATCTTTTGAGCTTCTGAGGCGATGGGGAATGTAGCCTTGCAGTGTGGTTCCTCTTAACAAAGCTTTTCATGAGTTAACTCAGTTTGCTGCACTTAACCACTGGGCTAAAGTCAGCTGCGTGGCATTAACTAGCTGTGCACCTTTGGACAATTTGCTTAAGCTCTCTGATCCTCTTGTTTCCTCTCCTCAAAAGGGAGGGATGAGGTCTTTGAGGCTTTTGAAGATTCTAGGAGCCTTGACCATTATAAAGAAGGAGGAGGTTAAAGGGCACCAAAGAAAGCAGGTGAGAGATAGAGCTGTAATCTCTGCTGCAGGAGGGCATGTCTGGGTATCTGTCACTGTGTGTTATTGGGGCTGCAGATTCTGTATTTAACAAAGGGAATAGTGTTTTTTTTTTAACTTGATTGCCTTTAATATATATTCACAGATGTTTTAAAACTTCACTTTTCATAGGAAGGAAGGAGTACTTCTGTCAGAAAGATAATTCTTGCATTTTGGGATTTTAAGCTGTGTCTAAGGTTAAATACCAAATAATATGGGGTCAGGGCTGATCAGGTGGATTCAGCTGGAGGGCTGTTACAGGAACAGGGGGTGTGCCAGAGGGGTAAAGAGGGGAGTAACTCATTTGATGTTCACAAGCATCTTATGAAGTAGGAATTATTATTCCTGTTTACAGATAAGGAAACCAGTGGCAAAGAGACTGCCCCAGAATACGGCTGAGTTGAGCTGGGATTCAGTCCAAGTCTGTCTGGTTGCAAGCCCATGGATTTTTCATCTGTCTGTGAAGAGTGGCTGTGGGACTAGTAGCCATGTCTCCTTAGAAAATGGACAGTTATGATTAGAAGTTGTGATTTAATGCTCAGAAGGGAGTTAGGGCTAACAGGCAACTAGGAACACTGTAAGGACCAGAGCCATCCTCAGCTGGCATAGAAGGCTGTAGCCCCTGGTCTACAAGGGGAGAAACACAGGGACAGGTGGTGATGGTTAAATGTTAGTGCTGGGCGCTTTGTAGGGAAGCACAGGTGGACGTGGTCTAGCCTGCTGCCTGCATTCCACCACGGTGGAAGAGGTGTCAGCGTTTGACTGCACACCCCAAGACAGCAGAGCCCTGGAGAAGGATTTCAGGCTAGGTGGAGTTCAGAAAGATACAGAAGTCCTCGCAGGGTGTTTCAGAGTGGTGATAGGGAAAGTTACAAATAGAAGCTGCAGAGGAGCATGACAGAAGGGTCAGGGTCAAGGAGGATGTGACCAGTTTCCCTTCTTTGCTGATAGACCACGGAGCCATTTCAGGGTCTTGAACCAACACTCAAAGGGAAGGGAGTGCAGAAGCCAGCAGTTATGTTGTGCTTCTGTGCTCCGGTATGGATGGGAGGCTTTACCTGCCACGGGAAGGTGGGCCCTCCCCGAGCCAGCCCATCTCCATGGGGCAGGAGCCTCATCCATCATCGTCTCTCACAGGACGTCCACTAAGGCTCTTGAGTCAGGACCGATGACTTCTGGACTGGGCTGGGACGTGAGCAAGAGGAAAACAAAAGCCAGCAGAATTAAACTACCTAAATATACAGAGGGAGAAAGGCGGGGGGAGGGGGAGAGAGTGAGGCAGAGAAACAGAAAACCAGGCACAAGACAGATGGACCAAAGAGTGTTCTTCAAGTTTTATGCAGCACATGGGGCCCAACTTCCTACATAGCGTGCTGCTAACAAATACATAGCTTATATTAAATTTCCAGAGGTTAGAGTTTCTTTAAAGTAACATTTAACTTTATGTCGGTAAATGATAAACATTTATAGACTACAAAAACGGAGTCAGTGAAAGATAATTGTTCTTCTGATGCCAACTTGCAGGTCTGTATGCCATCCCAGGATTACTGGCTGCGTGTGCACACTTAGGTGTCTGTTTTCATATACGTATGTGTGTGAGTATATATATATATATATATACATATATATACATATATATATATGTATATATATATATACATATATATATGTATATATATATACATATATATATGTATATATATATATACATATATATAGTTTATATATTTAGTTAATGGGGGGTGTATTGTTCCCACTTATTTTTTTTATTTGAATCCGTGAATTTCTTAATGGCCTAATGTCCCATTACATAGATGTGGAAGGCTGGGGGTTGCAGTTATTTCATGAGAGGTGAGGTTGTAGGAACAGTCACGGGCGAGTGGGGCCTACCAGCCTGGCTCCCACGGGGGCAAGTTCTCACCCCTTTCTAGTACCTGGTGTTCAGTGTCTGCAAGGCGGTAGCTTAGTGACATCCAATAGACGTTTATGTCCTTGAGATTTCTTAGTTATCTCCTTTTGGCTCCTGAAAGTGCCAAAAATGAGAGTGAGAAATGCCTGAGAACTGTTGCTGAGATTATTGGCTGAGTTCTAAGGCCGCGGTGAAGGAAGTTGGATTCACCAGTCTGTTACTTCGTCCGTCGGAGGACTGATCCCTCTGACTAGGTAACAGGCCTTAGGGGAAAGTCTCTATGGTCCTTCGCCAAAGATTGGTTCAGATCAGCCAAAACATTGAGTGAAAATTCCTCCAGCAATGCATATAAAAGATGTTTGTTGTTATTTTCATCTGTGACGGTGGGTGTTACTGTGAGGAGACAGCCTTTTGAAGAAGTGCCCTGTTCATTGCTGTTCCTTAGACGAGCAGAATCAGATACACCAACAGATACACGACTGATTAGCAAACACTTTCTTCCCAGCCATTTTGGAGGCCCCCAGAAATGAAAGAAGAGCATTTTTGGTTATAAGCGACAATGAATTAATAGCAACTTCAGCATTATTTCTGTGGTTTCATTTCACTTTTAGAGTTTTGTTCTCAAATACATATTTTTTTTAATTTCAAAAGTTATCAACTGACTTGAAAAAAAATCTCCTAGGCATTCTTCATCTCTGAAATTTGGGCTCCCCTCATTTTATTTCATATTCTGCTTTTTCTTCAACCTCCGGTGCAGCCAGTAGAATGCCGTTTCAGCCAGTGCCCCTGCTAAGGGCCGCCTGGTTCTTTGCCTCTCCTTTTCTGAACAGAGCGGTCAGATGAAGGGCTGCATTGTAGAGAATCGGTTCTGCATGTGTGTCCTTTGTAAGTCGGGACCTGAATGTTATCTCCCTTGGGGCCCTCCCTTCGGGCGCACCCTGGGCTTCCACACACACTCACATCCACACTCCCCCACACCCAACTACCTTCGGCCCTCAGGCCTTCCCCCTGTCTCCCAGCTGCCTGTGGCCTGCGTTCACACACCTTTCCCCCATGCGAGGGTCAGCCAGGCCTGCCTCGGATGCTGTCTGGACCCTCTCCTTCACCCCTTTC